CAACAGTCTAGACGGTAACCTGCACGAGGTGTGCAAGTGAGCCGCGGCTAAACTGGGCCTAGCGTGGCCCGCGGCGCAGGATGCAGAAGGAGCAGAGAGGGACCTTTAAGACGGAAAAAGGCTACCGCCTGCTCAAACCACAACGAGACAACTCCTACCCGACGTGCCGGCGTGCATGAAAAAGATGTCCCGCCATTGGGTTAGCCCCTTTAAGAGCAAGCTCCCGACCAAGGGATGTTCTAAGCTGGAGATCCAAGGAATGGGAGAGCTGGGGCTGGCCAGACCCCCAGCGATAGAGTCTTCAGTGGCCTATCACCTCCATCCGAATCGACGCTCTATTTCTGCCTCATCCCAAATCTCGTTGCCGAGCAAGATGGAACGTTTGACAGCGTCCGTTTATCAGAGGATGTACAAGTATGCGGCGCAGTCAGTGTGCCCGCTGAACGCGGTGACTTTACTGTCAGTGTACCAGGCAGAGATTTTGGAGGAGATGGGGTGGCAACTAGACACGGGAGTGCCGAACCCAGCACTCTGGGACGAGATATGTGTGGTGAACGATCTAATTCTCCGCTCTTCTCGTGGCGCGGTTCAGGGCTGTCGCCGTGTGGTGGGCTTGGCCGTTTCAGGTGAGAGAGCGTTATGGCTAAACCTGTCAGGATTGAGCGACGCTCAAAAAGCAGAGGTGATGGACGCAGCGTTCGACCCAACCAAGGGCCTGTTCGGGCCAGCTCTCGAGAAAATGAGAGAGACCAGCACCCTTAGGAAGCAAGAGGATGAAGCTTTTAACCTCTGTTTACCACGCAAGCAGGCACCGCGACCACCCTCTCAGCCAGCACGGCCGGGCTTTGCAGTAGCCGCTGCTGCGAGAGGAAGACAGATGGGAGCTAGGAATGTGAGACCGGCTCCCAGCGGACAACAATCTGGCCATCGTCCGAGATCTGATGGCTCCGGACCATGGGCGATATGCTCCCCGAATTCAATAAACACAATAAAAAAAGTTTCACTATCGCAGCCAGGCAGACAGCCGAGGGACATAGATTGCAAAAAAATCCAAAGATTGAAGCGTGTATCCCTAGCCTCACCGCTGGAGGGAGCGCACGCTCCGTCAGAAGGGGTCTGCGCAGAAACTTCAATGACGTCATCAAAGCGCGGCCACGATGGGGAAGTATACAGGGGACCTCTCTCGGCTCACATACTCAGTTGGCGCGCATGCGCAGCTCATCCGTGGGTGGTAAACACGATTTCACGGGGATACAGACTTCAATTTGCCATGAAACCACCCAGATTCAATGTTATGATAGTCTCAGTGGCCGAAGGAGAATCAGCTCGCGTCCTGACGACCGAGATAGACACTCTTTTAGACAAACGAGCCATCTGTGTGGTGCCAAAGGAAGTGAGCTGTCAGGGTTTTTACTCCCGTTACTTTGTGATTCCAAAGAAAGGGAGCACATCCCTGCGTCCAATTTTAGATCTCCGTGTGTTAAACAAGCACCTACGGAAGTATTCATTCAAAATGTTGACACACAAGACACTTTGTCGATCCATCCGCCAGAACGATTGGTTTGTGACGATCGATCTGTCAGACGCGTATTTTCACATAGATATTTACCCGTCTCACAGAAAATATCTCAGGTTTGCATTCCGAGGCACTGCTTACGAGTTTCAAACCATGCCATTTGGTCTATCTTTAGCGCCAAGAGTATTCAGCAACTGTGTGGATGAAGCACTTTTTCCTTTGAGAAACAAAGGGATAAAAATATTGTCGTACATAGACGATTATCTGATATGCACCTCGTCGAAGGAGCAAGTGATCAAAGACGCAGATATGGTGTTAATTCATCTCGACAGCTTGGGATTCAGAATAAACAGGGAAAAGAGCCACTTAGAGCCAGCGCAGCACACAGAATATCTAGGACTCAGTATAAACTCCCTCGCTTATCGAGTCACTCTGACAGAGGGGAGGATCACGTCCTTCACTCAGTGTCTCTCCCGTTTTCAGACGGGGAAAATTGTCCCGTTCAGACTGTGCCTACGAATGCTGGGTTTAATGGCTTCAGCGATTTCTGTAGTACGGCTGGGGCGACTCATAATGAGAGATTTTCAGCGCTGGGTCGCGCATCTGTGTCTATGTTCTTGGTGTCATCTCAGCCGACCGGTGAGAGTAACTCATGTGTGCGCCAGAGCGGGGGTCGGGGGGGGGGGTTAAGGTATACTTAGCGGCTATATCTGCTTGTCATGTTGGTTTTGGTGACAAGACAGCAGGTCAGCACCCTTTAATAAGTCGTTTTATGAAGGGGGCACGGTGTAAGAGGCCAGTGGCCAGACGAATGGTCCCGTTGTGGGATTTGTCTATGGTTTTGGAGGCCCTTTCTCAACACCCCTTTGAGCCATTGGAAGCTATAGGGTTGAAGTTTCTCTCTCTTAAGACAGCACTGCTGTTAGCACTGGTGACAGCGAAGCGTGTGAGCGACTTACAGGCCCTGTCTGTCAGCCCGTCTTGTCTGCAGTTTTCTCTAGGGCTCACAAGGGTTTCCTTTCGCCCTAACCCTGCTTTCGTACCTAAAGTAGTGGACTCGTCTTATAGATGTCAAACTACAGAACTTACAGCCTTCCACCCTCCTCCGTTCTCTTCTCCGGGGGATAGCGACAGCGACTGTCCCATTGGATTGAAGAGGCTATCTCTTTAGCATATAAATGCAGGGGTTCTCAACCTCCTGAGGGCTTAAGGGCCCACTCCACTAGGGGCATGGCTACTTCATGGGCCTTACTTAAGGGAGTTTCACCTTACTTAAGGGAGTTTCACTTAAGGGGGCTACACCGCACACTTTTGTACGATTTTATAGACTGAATGTGTTGGAGCCATCCTTAGCTCATGCAGTGCTAGGAGCCAGCACATCAGGTCCCATATGATAAGTATAACGTATGTTGTGCAATCCGGGAGTGGCCTATATCTCCCATAGTGAAACACCGAGCGAAGTTAGAAAAAGAACGATGGGTTACTTAACGTAATCCCGGGTTCTTTGATAATAGAGTGAGGTGTTTCACCAACACTTCCCTCCTTGCACAGGAACGGGAAGAAATCTCTTTATAATGACTTCGTTATGGGTCGACCTGAGTGATATATGTGGGGGCAGAGCCTGATCTCAGGTCGACCTGTCTGTCAAAGACAGACGTGGTGGCATAGGAGCTTCCGTAGTTGGTCACGCCCAAAGCGATTCCCATAGTGAAACACCTCACTCTGTTATCAAAGAACCCGGGATTACGTTAAGTAACCCATCGTTACTGGGAATGGGCATTAGTCTTTTAGGATATGTGAATCCTCATAAATACTTTTTCCTACATGTGTTCATCACACCAACCACTCTGACACAAAGGTCAAGTAATCAAAAGATTCCCACACTGTGTGTCAAATTCCTTTTCAAGTGTAACTTAATGTTAACATGCATTTTTAAATATATTGCCACATTTAAATGTTGAATAAGCTTTACAAGAAATGTACATATTGCATTGCTTCTTGGTCTTCAGCCATTTGTTTGAATTATTTTCAGAATGCAGAATTTAAGTGCAGTGAGGAAATCTATTCAGATCAAGCAAGTAATCTCCCCTGGATTCTGCAAACGAGGTATGTTACAGTATAATATAGTGCATTATGTATTCAGATAATTTAAAGCTGCAGTCCGTAGCTTTTTTTTGGGTTAAAAATGATCCAAAATACATATTTGAGAAAATACAAAACCAGCCAGTGTTCAAAACTATCTGCTTGCCTTAGCTCGATTCAAAGCGGTAGCTTGTAATAATGTTTTTAATTCCAGTGGTACTGGTGGATTTCCGCGGGAGATTCGAGCATGTCTTTGCGTCATTAGGTCACATCTGTACACATAAAGAAGGAGTCTCGGCTAGTATAAGCTATATTGCGTGTGAGGATGTTGGAGGTGGAGATTTATAGCCTTTTCTCACAGCACTTGATATAATTAAACTTATCAATTTGATGGCGGATCCAGAAAGGTTCAAACGACAATCACCAGTGACAACTAGAGATTCACCCGTTGTAAAATGACTTCGTTCGGACTTCGGAGTGGCTACAGAAAAAAAGAGACTGCAACCGGACCAATGCGAAAACAAGGATAAATATCGGAAGGACATTACATGTACGCAATGCTGACGTAACGTTGTTAACAAGTTGAGAACAAAGTATAATTTGCATGGTTTTGCGTGATATGATCATAAGCGATTTTTAGATTTAATCAGCGCGATTACTGCAATGTCAGAACCAGAACAAAAGTGGATATTGCTTGTTCAGATGACATTTTCCGGTGAAAATGATTATGTTAGTCATACTTCCAAAAAGAATAATCTGTGATTCTGAATGACAGTATCCACACCGGCACGGCGACTGACGGCTGCACACTCTCCTCAATGTGTTCATCCGCGCTGTGCGGTGTCGAACTACAACCATAGACTACAACTCACGTAAAGTTGATAATTCCGCGAATGACTGCAGATTTCGAACAGAGAGTAAAGAGGAAAAAATGCGGACTGCAGCTTTAACAATTATTTAATTTTATTACATTTGAAATCTGAAAATTAAAAAAGTGTGTTATCAAACATGTATTAACATATTGATAAATCTAGCATTTATGCCTATAAATAAATTGACTAAAACTATTTCAAACTGACATCCACCTCCATCTCTGTCAGTCAGACAGGAAAGCTATACTATATTGACATAATAGGTATAACGTTAGGCCTATGGTATGCACACGATCTGTGAAACCTTATAAAAGAGGTAGTTTATTTTATTCTGTCAGGTTCTTTCTTTAAAATATTAAAATAATAGCTATCGTTCTATTTATCGTTCTATCGGTCTGTCTGTGTAGCGTCCTATCTGCGTCAAGGTAACCAGTTTTTGGTACGTTAGTCGTTTATAGTGTCACCGTTTATATATTCCCGCCCCAGTGTGTCTGTGAGGAACTGCCCTGTCCGCGCGCGCTGTAGCTCTGCTCATTCTGCACTGGCTGCTGTCAGCACGCAGAGTCTGAACGGCAAGGCGGAACGCTTTTACTCCACCAAACCGTGTGTTGACACGCTAGTCATGAAACTATCTCTTTGGATATCGGACTGTCCTAAAACCCCAGATGACAAGCCTTAACCCGGAGCGAAACGGTAGGTGTTTGTTGATATATCGAGTGCTTACCGCTCCCGATACTTATCCTGTGCATTTAAGTAGAAGTTAGGCTACAGTATGCGTTGTTGTCAAATAAAATGTCTCCGTGACTTCAAGGGAAGGACTGAAGTTCAAAAAGACTTTATTATCGAAGTTGGGCGTTGAGGAAAGTCACGGTAGGTTGTTTTTGAGATGATATTGCATAGTGTTTTGAGTTTCATACATGTGTTGTGATCGTGTAGTGATTTTACCGCATCGGCTGTGTATCAAACTCACGCGCGCTGTAAACTGACTGTGGTACACGCCTGCTTATGTTTGTATTCAACAGACACATTAAATTAGTTGTTTGCAGGTTCACTTTAGTCTTATGTAATGTCTGTCACTTTCACTTAACTAATGTGTTAATAATTTACCAGAAAGAGCGAATGTTTCTCCTCCTTGTTGCATTTCTTAGAGTTATAAGATGTAGAACTGTAAGCTGAATATGTTGCATTCCTTTCTTCCCCACGCTACATAAATTGAACACAATTGAACACATAAATTGAATACAATTCATCATAGTTTGCTGTTGCTAGGTGGGCAAGCTTTTGTTTTTGCTTTCAGACTGTTCAGACTTAAATGCAGTTTGCCTGAGGTGCTGTTTAACTCGTTCTTGAGCAGTAGGAACTGGCACAGTGCTTATGTCCTGTGCATCTTGGAAAGATCAGATCTCTGTCATGCTGTCTTTATAAATATCCCGGTGGGGTCTCTCTGCTGTGGGTGTAATTGGGCATCCCGCCTGCACTAAATGCATGCCTGTCCTGCTCGAGTGCAACCTTGAGCTGTGCTCTGTTCTTTGTCACTAGCGCTGATAACTTGACAGATACTGAGACGGCTGGGCAGTCTCAGGATCGTTTCCTCTCTAATCAGCCCAAAATAGCTCTGGATCACAGCTATGTGCTCCCTTGCATTAATCACTTCCTAAGTGCCGGAATTGATCGTCCTGGGTCAATCACAGCCTGTTGTCCTAACACAATATTTTTTCCTCACTCACAAGACTGAGTTATTCAGCGGCACAATATGCAGAAAATATGCTTCCTTACTGACATCCCGAGAGTGAAGTCATTTTGGCACCTGATTCGATTTCTCAGTCTCCACACATCCAGCCGCTCCGAGACTGCACGGGCCTGGTTGGCTGCCAATGAGCCACTGCGATGTGCATTGGTGAGGTTTTGGTCAGCTGTGGTTGGTCAGCTCTTCCCATTGTACCCCATCCCGCCTCTGTTCGCTATTGACCGAAGCTCATTAAACTCCACATGAAGGCCACAGCTGAACCACTGACCCCTACAATGAGATTTTTTTGGGCACCTCCTACAGTACATGTGTGTGGTCTTGCGTCTTGCACAGAGGTCTGTCCTCAGGCCCACAAGGCTGCTTGTATAGACAAATACAATGTGAAGCGGTGTGTATATGTATGTACGTATATATATTTTATATATATATATATAGGTTATAGATATGTTAGTCAGTGGTCTTTTGCAGTGCATGCATGCAGAATTGCACGCACTCACAAAGGCTTGAACATAGCAATTTTCAAGGCATGCAATTATGTTGCTTGCATAGTCAATCCACTTCCTCTCATTCTTGTTTTTAGTAAAGCAAAGCCTCGTAATTTTTAGAAACATTTACAGGGCCATACAGTCTATTTCTACTTGCATTTATGCACTTTAAGAGCTCAAATTAGATAACATTTTTAAGTAGAGGGAGGTCAGGACTGTTAGATCTAAGAGGGTCTTTTTGTATGTCAACAGCTTTGGTCACAGTGTGCCATGGAAGTAAACAGTCACTGAAGGATAGCTCTACTATACACTTGCATGCTGTAGATGTAAATGATTGTCCCATCATGTAGGACATGAAATGACAGCTGGACTTGAGTGACTTTCATGGAGGGCCACACCTGGAAGATCTTCAGGACGCGCAGACAGCACTGACTATCTCATGAACCTCTCAAACTTAACAGCTTTTTCCAGCAGGGCCATAGTCTGTTCGCTCTTACCACATAAAGAGAGTATCAAAGAAACAACAGTGAACAAAATAATTGGACAGTGATTGCATGTTTGTTTTTGATGATTAGTAGATTAACTTTTTAATTTTTGCTTCTCCAAACAATAGCAATATTTGGATGAGGTAGATGCATTGTTTCAGTTATTTTTCCAGCGTTAACAGGTGACATGTATTGCTCATTCATTATTTTTTCCAAACGCTCTCTTAAACCACCACATACCCGCTCCATTCTGAGCATGACATCTATAATGACATGTTAGGATTACAACACAGCTTGTGTTTATAAACCAAACTGGCTTGGTAAGCAGCATGTTTGCGTCAGTGAAAGACACCGTGTCAGGTTTGTCCCTTCTGTGAGCTTCTCTCAGCATAAACCCCTCATTGAATGTGCGTTGTCTATGCTGATTAAAATGGATCACCTCTGGAAGGTTTATGTCGATACTGGCCACAATCTCAAGTGCTGCATTAAGAAAACCCTCAGGCAAGTCAACTCTCTATTAAGACTCTACATTTGCCCCCATCACGTGTTTACTTCCATTCAGAACGCAAGATTTTCCATGCCACAGCCATTAGACATATTATTCAGAAAACAAGTGTTCCTTGGGGGGACAACTTCCCAAGAAGGCTCCTGATTCTGAATATAGTTCAATTTAGATGCAAAAAAAGCTCTAGCTGTGTGAGGCCCTGCTCCTTTTGCTGTTATTTCCATACAGCACAGACAAAACACTGCTGTCTGTGCCCTGAATAAAACTAGCGGCTCGAACTCGCTCCTATTGGAGATCTGAGGCTTGCGGAATAAGATGTGACAGCTTTCTGGTGATGCCCGGTGGAATTGTGGGGTTATGATCAAAATGTTTCAGAAACCATAACAACAGATCTTAGAAAAGCTCTAACATTTTTGCAGTTTCTGTTGAGATCTGGCAATTCGTACTGTGGAATGTAGGTAGAATGAATGTGGCAGATGGGGATTTGGGAAATGTATTCCCTGGTGTAAAAGGAGTGTTTCAGAGGGTCAAGGTCCTTTTCCCACAGTTCTTTATAGACTTGTGTCTTTTCACAGATGCATGTGGCGCCATGCAGAAGAGAGAAAAATGCTGGTTAAGTTTGTGTACTGGTTGGTCAGAGGGCAGTGTGTTTAGATTGGATTTTTTCCATCATTTGATTTCGGCCTCTGCAAGGGAGGCTGAAAGGCATGCTTAAGAAAATGCACAGTTCAGCGTGATCGTCAATGAATCATGTATTACACACATTGTGTGATACCAGTGAAGTAACTCCTGATAGTAACCACAGAATACAGAAGTAAACACAACATTTCACAGTCCATTTAGTGTTTTTTTTTATGGGGGGCTGCACTCTTGCAATGGTATTAGTCTCAAGCTGTGTTACAACAATATGATCTATTAATTATTTATGGCCCTTTTTTATTTAGAATGTACTCACTTAAGTTTTTTGGCACACGAGGATTCCTCAGCTGCTTTTGCAGGATGTGGAAACTCCCGCTCATAACTCATATCAGGCCTTATCTATTCAATCAGAAGTGGTTTGGAAAGTGTGAGAGCAGAGTTTCACTGTAGGCATTCAAATTGCAGGTGAGGGAAAAATCTGAAAACTGCTCTCTGCAACTTATTTTAAAACTCCGGCATTGCCATAGTAACTGCCTATCTGTTCTAACACAGCGAACATCTATAAGCGGAGAGCGGTTTTCCTGTGAATCAGATGATCCTTTTGAGGTAATTCAGGATGCTCATGAGGCGTGAAGAACCTGAAATGCAAAAGCACGTGCCTCAGGTTTAAATACAGCTAATGAGGAGGTGAGTCTGTCATACTGAGAGAAGGCTTTCATGAACTGTAATAGATATAATCTGAGCTGGTGAATGATGGACATCTATTTGATGCTGCAGAATTTTACAACTAATGACAGTCTGTCTAGATTACTAGCTTGATTACTGTTATGTACAAATCAGTACAAGGCTAAGCTCCTTTCTCTTGGGAACATTTTGGCTGGTTTAGTAAGTTGCTGACATATCTAATAATTTTAGCTCCCCTGCAAAACCAAGGCATAATGGAAGCACACCTGACGCTGAAGCTGTGCCAAAAGCAGGCCTCCTAAAATAACTTTTTAACAAATTTTAAGGCAGCATTGCATGTACCTTTCATTAAGATCACTGAGGCAAGCTGAGCAAAAAATAAATCTTAAGGCTGTGTAGTAAATGGCATACTTTCATACTATATAGCAGGTGAAAAACAGAACAGAATGTGCATCGTATTCATATAAACAGTAGGTAAAAAAGACCCCTTATGACCGGGTTTTTCTCACATCAAATTCAAAATACAATTTTACGGATGTACTGGATATTATTCGGCGGTGTGATGAACATCGCAATGCTGCGTTTGCTTACTCTGCCGTCATTTTTTTCGTGCCGTCTGGATGAAAATATACGGAGTAGAGACTGCGCAGTGAGTTGTGTTGACAGAGTTTAGCGATTTAAAGAAGAGAAAACTTCTGAGTAATGTCATTGAGTTCTTTTGTGAAGTTGTGTGAACAACACGCGCCATCCGTGTGTACGTATGCACACTTTGGTCAGAGTGGTAATAATGCGATTAAGGTGTTTACATGGCTGTTTATTGCGTTTAAAATGCCACAGTTTAATGCGAATATGGTTACTATGATTTATGAGCTTAATCGTATTAGTTTGATCGAAGTATTGCGTTTACATAAGGTCCCAGAAATCCCAGTATAATCGCATTATGAGGGTGCATGTAAACATACTGATTGACAACATGACGAATGTAGTATGTTTTTACATTCATACTACACGCTTTCATACTATAACATACTTTTTTAATGCAAAGTAATTACTTATTAAAAAGAAGTACCTATTTAGAGAGTATGCGATTTTGGATGCAACCAAAGGCTTTATCAAGTCCATTACCTTAGCAATATGTTAATATCAGACTAT